GTATTTCAAGTGTTAGTGGAAATTTCCCCTTCCAAAGCAGGCCATGTGCTGGAGTGGGATGAACTAATCAGCTTGTGCCGTGGCACAGCAGGGAAGGATCCCAGTGTGGCTGCACCCACGGTGGAGCAGCCCCGGGTTATTTTTAATTAGCACTTTCCCGCAGGAAATAAGTGTAAGTCAGAGAAACGCAGGAGATGGAGCCTTTTTTTATCAGTCTGGCTTTCCCTGTGCCTGCACAAGCTTCTCCCCACGCTGCCATGCAGGTGGCAGTGCCAGGGAGTGCCGTGGGGCTGATTTCCCTCGTGTGGCATCACCCACAGACATCGAGCTGTCAGCGCTCAGATGACACGAGAGGTGAAGCACCAGGGGTTTTGTTCAGCTTCTATTTGACCAGCTTTGCTCCCAGTTGGTTTTTTTTTTCCAAAATAGGAGCCCTGCTTTCTAGTGAGAACTCAGTTGAGTGCAGCTCACTTGGTTAAGCTCATGTCTGTAATGGAGAGAGAGAGAGATATTCAGCTACGACTCCTGCTTTGAAGAGGAGAGACACTGCTGCCCTGAAAGTGGAAAGGATCTTTCCTTCTCCCCGCTGGAGGGAAAGGAGGGACTTGATCTAATGTAAATATTGCCTTACTACAGGAGAGATAGTTAGAATTGTGTATATAATATAGTATTTATTTGTGTAATAGTTGTAATGTGACTCCCTTCCCCCCATATTGAGTCTTGTGTTATGTCTGGAAAAACCTCTCGCGCTGCAACAAATTGTGGGAGTTGGGGCTTGGGCTTGGAAATGGGATTTTTGGGGGGGTCTCAAACTATGACAGTGTCACACAGGCAAAGCAGCTGGAATGTCCCCCTGGCTGCTTGGGAATGCTGATGCTTGTTGGGAGAACAGCATGGCTGATGTTTCCTGTTGAGAAGAGGGAATGCTGGGGGTGGTACATCAACCTGGAGTTAATTCCACTGGGGCTGTTCAAGGCAGGCAGCCTGCTTGGCTCTCTGCTGGGTTTCCTGTGCCCTGCTTGAGTTGAAGAGCACATCCCTGCTCCCTGAGTGCTCTACCTGCACAGGTTTGGAACAACCTGTTTTCTTTGTAGGCTTTTTATAGGTATTTGACTAGAGGCTGTGTGCTTTGTGCATGCTAAAGCAAGAGGAAAACCTAATAATGCAGCAGAAATCCAGGAGCCCTGGCACAGAGAAGGATCCTTTTAGGTATGAGATGATGGGGTTGGAATGAGATGATCTTTAAGTCCCCTTCCAACCCAAACCATTCTGTGACTGTATGATGGAGGCTGTGCAAGAGCTGACTATTCATAGGCTTGCAAATTCCTGTTGGAATAGGAAGAGGTGATCCACAGCTGCAGGAACAGGCCTGGCTTGGTGTCTCTTGTAGTCTTGGAATTAAGGAGTCTCCTCTTCAGGCTTTACCTCTGATCTCTGACAGCCACTGGTGCCTTTCCTTCCCCCCTTGGCTGCCTTGTTTTCCCAGCAGCTCCTCTGAGTCTCTGTGCTCCCAGTTTCTTGCTCAATAGCCCCGTGGTGGTTGCACTACCCTGGCCTGTAGACACTCCCTTAATCCAAATAATAGCACACAAAGGTTGTTTACTTGGCTGTTCCTTGGGATATGCTTTCAGAAACCACACGGACTGCAAACGTAATAAAATATGGAACAATGGCCTCTCCTGCCGAAGTAATTGGGTGCTTTAGAATAAATGACCCTTTAACTTCACTTTCAAAAGTGTGCCGGGGGGAAGAGCAGAGAATAAGAGGGAGCTCAGTAATTTCTGCCTCTTGTCATGGGACTCTTCCCTGGATCCAAAGCCTGGGTTCTGTCCCAGGAGGGGTGACCCATCTGTCACCTGCTGGAGGTGGATGAGCTGCATTCCAGGCTGGGGAAGAAGAGAGTGTCTTTCAAGTCGAGCCTCCCTGGGTAAATCAACGTGTGGGTTTGTCCTGATGGGGATCACGTTCCAGTTTCATTCCAGGATGATGCTCCCCATGGCCCTGCCTCTCTCACTGCCTGCCTGGCAGCTGCTCTGCACCCTGGACTTGGCTGCAGCTCGGTGGTAAAAGAACTCCTAAAAGAATTCTTAAAGAATTTGTCACTGGAGAGCACTTTGGGATGAACGGTGTTACATAAATGTAAGGTTGTGATTAGGCTGCACTGGAATAAGGAGGAATATTTAAATGTGCCTTTTTTTTCTAGCAAGTCTTATTTAATATGGAGGGGTATCAATTTATCACTGTCTTGCTATGGCTTTTCCCTACCCCTCCAGCTAATATTGTGCATTGCAGGGGAAAAAAAAAAAGGGGGTGGCCATCAATAACAGAGTGATTACATGGCTCCCTGCGACTTAAAAATCAAATCAAAGTTCTTTTTTTCTCAGTGGCTTTCGGGATTCTACTCTCAGTGCCTGTGACCCTGAACCTACAAGTCTGTGTTACACAACATCTGGGATCAGGTCTGGGACATGGGATGGCAGATCCAACCCTTGGGCACTGAGGCTGGAGGGATCAGCTCCAGGGAGTGATCTTAAGTGCCAGGAAAACTTGGAGTCTTGCAGAAGAGCTGACTCGGAGTCTCAAATTTAAGACCTTTTGCCTGGTGTTCAATCCCTTCTAAGTAAACCCAGATCTGATTAGAGACACTAAAGTTCTTTAATTACTTGCCTTGGGTACCTTGATGAGCAGAAGGAAAAGCCTTAGGAGTCAGTTCTTGTTTTTCAGCCTTGTGACTCCAGTGGCTGCCCAGCAAAGATCATGTAAAATTTCCCTGTGAAATCCTCCCCAGGAGGAAGAGGAGCTGCTTCCCCTGGATCAGCCTGACCACAGATCTATCAGGAAGCTGAATCCTGCTGATAAATCCATCCTGGGCATTTTCTGTCTTGCTCCATTATTGTACCAGAGGATTTGCAACCATCACTTCCAGATTTCAGTGTTGTGCTACAACACAGAGATCGTGTGTGTCCAAAAGAATAGAGAGAAAACACAGGAGAGACCTGAGTTGTTTTATTTCAAATGCAGCTTTGGGTGGTTTGAAGTGCTTGGCAGTGTTTCCAGAAATATTGATCTGGTTTTGTGCCAGTTGCCTGGTGTTGGATCTGGTTAAACATCTCCCTGCACAGGGTGATCCTTGGAAACTTAACCCCAAACATCAGGGCTCTGTGAATGAGCTGCTGTGGCTTTCCCATGAGCTTCTTACTCAGTTCTCTCTTTAATTTCAGATAGAAAGAAGTGGCCCCAGACGTGATCAGTTTGTTTGGTGACATTCACCACAGAGGGACAACAGGGGATGTTTGCTTACTTTGTATTTAACACCTGCAGCTTCACTGTCAACAAAAAACGGACTGAACTCACTTAAAAGTTGGCTCACTTCTAATTCCAAGCTCGCTCAAACAGGCCTGTGTAATTAAAGTAGTTCATAGTAGAACTTCCAGTTCTTTGTGTGCAGATGGGGAGCAAAAAACAGAATTCTGGACTTGGTGGGAAGAAATTACAGTCCTTTGCTTCCCCGTGGGAGGGCAGCTCTGCCCTGACACCGAGTTAGCTGGGAATTAGGAAGGTTCTAAATGACAAGTGTTGAACTGGCAATAGGCAGGATTGTATTTGAGCTGTTGTGTTACTCATGCAAAAACAATCAGAGGTATTTTTAGCTCATGAATTCTGTTGGAAAAAAAATCTTTGAGGTGTCACCTTGCCAGCTTAATACTGGAGTCACATCGTGATCAGGTTCATGCAGCACGGAAACCTGGCAAAAATTTGAATATTGAATTGCAGAAGAGTTAACTGACTGAGAAACTGTCAGCTTTGTCAACCTAAAAAGAAAGTGATTTTTTTTTTGGGGGGGTTGTCTAAAACATAATTATAATTGTAAAAATGTAATCATTCTACTATTTTAATACAAGATGCTATTTCATTGTTTGGATTATCTGATGTCATTACACATCCATATTTATTACAGCCCTGAAGACTCTGTAGTCCAAAGCTTTTATTTCATGAGCAGACATAACACAGGAATTCAAAACAAGACATACATATACATATATATATATATACCAATATACATTTAAACAATGCAGAAGAGGTAGTACCATTAATGAAGAAATACATAACATGCAGTAAAAACACCAAGACAATTCAGATCTGTCTTTATTGCACCCCTTTCAAGTATCACAAGAGGCTACAGAATGATTTATTCAGCATCAATCCAAATTTAAAAGTGTTCTCTTACATGATTTTATCTTGAATTTTCTCCTGGTGACCCTTCAGGTGAGTAGCTGAAGGGGACAGTACTTAGCTCAGAAGTTAAACACCACGGTTGTAACCACTGAGAAAATGAGCTTTGAATTCATTACTTGGAGGAACCAGATGGCCTTTGTGCCTCAGGATGTAAAGTTAGGCCTGAACACCAAATATTTCACCTGATCTCTTTTTCTTTCTCCAAAAAGACCCAGTTGCATGGCTGAGCTGTGTTTTGGAGGGGTGCCTACCCCATAAAGGGGAAAAAAATAACGTATAAAACTGGATGGGTTTTGCTGTTGACCTGAAGAACAACCTCGGTGTAGCCTCCAAGGTCTGTCAGACATTAAGGAACTGCAGAATTTAAGGGGGGAAAAAATATGATCTCTATGGAGACAAGATCCTGAAAGTATTGCCAGGTAAAGATGGGAAGTGTCTGTCAGAGCCCCATCGACCAGACTGATTATTTCTCAAAGAGTTTGAAGCTGAAAGCAGCTGAAAGATTTTGCTCAGTGAAAAGTGCTTCAGGAAAGAAGAAAAAAACACAGTTAAGAAGCTGTTGAGGCTTCAGAGTAAAAAGCAAAACAGACCTAGACCTCAGTAAATGCACCTTCTGTTTGCATTTCCAGATCTAACCAAGGAGGATCTCTACTCAGAAGTTACACATTGGGAAGATTCAAGAGTCCAAGGAAGGCTGCAGTGAAGGAGGAAGATGCTTTCCTTTTTTAGGATGGTTTTCCAGATTTCCTGGGTTTTTTTTTCTGTTGTTTAAGCTCTGATGGGCTGCCAGGAAAAAAAAAATCCAAACCAAACAGCAACAAATCCAGGGAAGAGGCTGTAGATAATCCCAGTTATCTGATGTACTCCTCCTCAGAGGTACAGGACGGATCTTCATCTGTGCTTTCCTCCAAATCTGGCAAGTTGCCCCAGAGCAATACATTCACACCTGGTGGGAAGGAGGTAAGGAGAATAAGGGGGGGGGGAAAGAGGTATTTTTGGATTGTGACCTTAATTTTAAGTTGCACTACTGTCTATTTTGAGAGGGAATAATCATTGCAAAACCCATTAAGTCACGTCCCTGATAAATATATCCCTTTTCTATTTTTCTTCCGAGTGATCTTGGAAGTGCTGTTGCTGTTTACATCACAATTCAAAGAATAAACCCACTGAAGCTTGTTTCTATAACTAATTCATGGAGCTATTGATAACCCCCCTCGTGGCTGATTTACTTTTAAAAGCCCTGCTCTGAGACCCAGGTGACACTGAGAGGTTCAGGCAGCGGGTCTGTGAGGAGGAGAAGTGCTTTGTCAGGGGGGGCTGTGGATTCCTGAGGACTCCAACCCTGCCAGACTCTTGGCATCCCACCAACACCCAGCTGAAGAAGCTGCAAACTTCAGCTTCACGAGGATTCACTGGGAGAGGGTCAAAGTGACAACATGACTCACCCAAAAAAGAGTGTCCCTTGGCCAGCTGCCTGAGAGCCCAGGAAAGCCACACACCCCCCTATAAATAGCTGGGTTTGGGCTGGTTGTAGGATTGCTGCAGAAAACCCCGACTTGTGGCCGCAGAAGGGGGAGGTTAAAGTTTTCTGGTGGAGATCAATTTACACTCAGATTTTCATTTACAGCTCCAACCACCCTCCTTCCCCCCCCCCCCCAGAGCAGTTTTCCAGATTAGCAGTGCAGTAACACTTCCTTGTGCCTCCATATGTTCCCCTCTCTCCATATGCTTGGACTATATTGAGCTGCCTCGTTAGAATCAGGACTCAGGATTTGAGATTTTTAGGGAAAAGAAGGAGACAAATTTACCAGAAGGGTCGAGCCTGTTGATGCCAATGACTGCTTGGCTGTGGAACATCCAGAGGTGGCCATTGTTGCAGGACAACAGGCAAGGTTTGCAGGGAGAAATCACATGGTAACCAACAACGTTACCACTGCAAAGGCAAGTGAAATAATGAGCAACACAAGTGCCTGATGAAAAGACAGATGTTGGTAGCTTTTTCCAGCCCAAACTAACGTTAAATAGCCACGGTACCAGACCATTATGTAATGCTCCTATTTTGATTCAGTTAAGGGAACGTAGTTAAACAAGTATCTTAAATATTTAGGGAACATCTGTCAGGAGTTACAGAATATCTGAGTTTCAGATCTTTGGCATAGAGAACCATTAGTAACCTAAATTGTGTAATCCAGATTAGTTTACATACCAACAAATGCTGGTGCATTTTTTTTTTTTTTGGAAGGCCTGTGGTTCCATTGGCACCGGCTCAGAAGTTCATCACACACAAACCCCACCTGTACAGGAACCCCGTGCACAGGAGAGAATGAGACTCATGGAATGGTTTGGGTTGGAAGAACCTTAAAGACCATCCAGTTCTGCCCCGTGCTATGGGCAGGGACACCTTCCACTAGCCCAGGTTGCTCCAAGTTTATCCAACCTGGCCTGGGACACTTCCAGGGATGGGGCAGCCACAGCTTCTCTGGGCAACCTGTACCAGAATATTGAAGCCTTATCAATTTTCCTCAATTAAAACCCAGAACAACCACTTTTCTACTTTCACGTGCTCTGGTGAGCTATTTCTGTTTCTCTGCTTCTCCCTAAAAACTAAAATATTGTGTTTCTATCACAACCACCCCCCCTCACTGTTTAAATCTGAACAAGGTAAAAGTCTTGATTAGGAAGCTGAAGGGATCATCTCAAATGACTGTGAGCTATTTGAGAGTTGTTGTTTTCACTCTTAAATATCAGATACTAATAAGGAGGATAAAAGAACTCCAAGAACTTTAGCGACAGCATGTTCCATCTGCTCGCAACAACTCGATCTGCCAAGAGGATGTTCTATTAATTAGAATATGAGTAACTGCTTCTTACTGGGGCCTTATTCACACAGTTATCTCAGTGTTGAAGCAGACATTTAATCAGGCAGGTGGCACACAAGCTTTCCCATAGACTCAGACTCCTGACAAGGTTGTCACATTTTCACTGGGGACTTGCACAGAAAATGGACTGGCAGCCATGCCCAGGAGTGGTGGGCTGAGTTTCTATCAAGCAGCATCAAATCTGCGACAGAGAATGCAATCTGTTCATTCATCCCTTAACCCTTGCACTGCAGGAGTCGGCAGGGAGGGGGTTAAGCAGTATTTTGGAGTGTCAGGGTCGCGGGCTGTGCTCTCACCACTTCAAACACGCGATGTTCTTCAGTTTGCATTTGCAGATTTCGGTGAAATAGCAGCTTCCTATGAAATCAACAGTCCTGGTTGGGAAGGAAGGAAAGACACGGGAGTTTAGATGTGGCTGTGATCACAACTGTAATGTTTTAATAACACAGGTCTGAAGTCACAACAAAGTGATGCTGCTGCTGGTCACAGTCTGGTTTTAAACTGCTCCAAGACCACAGGGTTATATTTTCCTACCGACTGCCAGCCACACTCATATGGAAACAAGAAGAGACCCACGTGACATTGCATTAATATCACAAGTCCTCTCAAAATAGCTCAAAAAGCAGAGTTTCTCTTGGTAGAGACTTGTAGGCTGGGGCTGGGTGGCACTGACAGTCAGAAACCTGGCAAATCCCAACTAAGATACAGAGCAATCCCTTAAAGGCTGGGACATTTAAAACCAAACCTTTGATTTCTTATCTCCTTTTCAACCCATACTTTCTGATTACCATGTCATTTCACAACCTGATTTCCTTAGTATTCAAATCTTGCTATGGGAAAGCAGCACACAAACCGACTTTGGGGGAGAGCCCTTCTGGGAGCAGTGACAGATCAGGTTTGTTCTGTTTGCAGGCCTTTATTTCAAATTCTAATCTCTGCTTCTGCAAGGAGCTAGAGGAGCTCCTGAGACTGTGTCATCCCCACGAGTGAATTAAATTTGGAGTGGGGGGTCGGGGACAGCCTTGCTCTTGCCATCCCATGGTTTCTGCAGGGCTGAAGGAGAGCCGAGTGGGACTAGAAATAGAGGGATGGGCTGAACTGCGCCCTGTGGGGCTGTTCCGCTGGCGACAGCGGGTTTTTAAGTGCTGGAGCCGCGGTGATGCTCCTGCAGCTCCTGACCCCTCTTAGCAGGATCAGGCTGAATCCCGGCACTGCCAGCGCCGACCCCTCTCCGGAGGGACCCCGTGGGACCCCCCCGTGCCCGGCGCTTACCCGGAGGGCGGGATGTCGGTGGAGTAGAGGTCGGTGTCGGTGTC